TGGTTTAGAGAGGATTCTGAACCATGGATAAGTTTAGATCTTTCGAGACTGGTATGTAATTATCACAAAGCAGAGCAAAATGTCTTGCAGTTCATCAGGACCTTAGAAAAAAATCTTAATTGGCTGATGTGCTTAAATTTTAGAACTTATACACCAATCAATTTTAGAGTTTTTCTTATATTCAGTGTTTTCTCTATTCTTTAACCTTAGCGAAGATATTCTTGGAAAGCGATTTGGCAACAATCATAAAACATGACTAACAGTGCTAAAACAAGTAAAAAATTACTTAACAGTCAGATGAATGATCAACTAAAATAGATTTCTAGAAAACTAAGTATTGGATGTCATTTACATTATCATGCAAAATAAAGCATAAAAAATCAAAAGTATCAAAATTTTCAATTTTTCTCTTCAAGACTAAGAAGTCAGAACTTAATTAAAACCTGGGTTTGAATTAGGTGAGCCCTAAAGGCTCTTTTGGGAAACAAAGCAGAGGGAAAATTGCCTTCATGAATCAATACCAATCCTCAAAACAATACTACTACTGATAATGAAGGTAGGTCAATTTTTAAAACTTCCTACTAGTTTGCTCACATTTCAGAAAAGAAGTATAACGATGTCTTTCATAAATATACGGCACAAAGCTTACTTTGTTACCTCTTTAAAGACTCAGCTGAGTTTTGCACTCTTTTATTATACAGCCATCAGGGTCATTAACAGGAATAAATGTGATACATCTTCATCTAGAGCCTGTGGGTTACAGCAAGGCTTGATATGATACACAAAAAGGCCATACTGAGAGGAGATAAGTTCTACAACCTAATATCTGACGCTTGTCCAAAATATGTCACACTTATATTAATTTTGGAAATCATTTCTCAACGACTAGATTAGAACCATTATAAGCAGGTTTTACCATATAGCTATGACTAGATTATCTTTGTTTTAATGTCTGTTTTCAACTGCTATTTTAGCCTTCTGTTAACTGACATCAATAATTTCTTGACCCTGGGCCACTTTAAAGATCAACTGAGCCTTGAAATCTGAAAGGTATCATATAGTCTAAGGCACTGGAGACTCAAAGCAAGAGATGTCTTTGCTTCAATTTCTGGACACTTGCTTGTATGAGAAATTGCTGCTGCTGCTGATGTTAATGAAAAACTATTCTGAACTTTTTGAGGACATGGAATATTCCTGTATCACACCAACCTGGGCTGGAAATGAAAGCAAAGTGGGCTCAGGGATGGAAGGTACCCTGTCATAATCTCTGGTGCCACTGGGACCACTCTGGGGGTGGTATGTGGCTCCCATCAGAGAATGATTCCCAGCTATAGGCCTGAACATTTTCCAACTGTGCTTTGTTAGGCCATGATAAGAAATAATCTCAGCTTAAATCAATAAAGGTTTACTTCTCACTCTCATTTCATGTGAATCAAGGGTTGGCAGGTGGACTCTGCTCATTGTGCCAGAGAAAAAGAGGGGGTTGTGGAAGGTCTTGCAGTGGCAATACATTCACACCACTTCCACTCACAACTCACTGGACAGAACTAGTCACACGGCTCTGACAGATCACAAGGGACAAGGAAGTGCAATCCTATCAATTGCCTAGAATGAAGGAGAACTGGAACTATTTGGCAATGAGCATCGACTACAATACCCTTATTTCATAAAATAATAAGATAACCTATTACTTGGAAAACCATGGGCTTTCTCTTAAAAATTTCTGCCTACTTACTTGTCACAAGTTAGGAAATATATTAAGTTTTGAATAATAATTTGGCATTCTGCTTCGTGGTTCACAGCAGGTCTATGTAGAGAGAGTTAGTTTAGACTCTATTTCTATTTTTGCTCAATTTCTCAGTTTTAAGTTACAGTATCACCATAAAGAAAATAATTAATTGGTGTTGTAGACTAATCCATATGCCACCAAAATATGATGAAATGCAAATGAAACATGTCTCCATATGCCTTTCTCATTTGTTATTCCTTATTCTGGTTCTTCATAGACATGTTCTTTGTACAGGCAGACATCTCCCTATTTATTATGCCAATACCTTCTATTTTTGTTGTAATTTTTAGTTATTTTAAATCTAAGTTATATACGTAACACTTTGAAGAGTCAAATGGTGCTACAAGGCTTGTTATGAAAAACAGTTCACACAGCTCCACCCTCCACTTCCTGCTCTCCAGAAGCAACCACTTTCAATTCTTTTACCCATTTTTTTTCATCTCTTTATCTCTAGCTTATATTGCTACTTCTTGATTTTTCTAGAGAGTATTATACACTGATTTTCCACTATGGAAAATGAAGATTTAGCTCTATTGACCACCATCACCTGCTCCCTCCCCTTCCTATGCAAACACACAGTTCCCACACCCCATCGTCTCAACAGAATTTTAGCACAATTTTGATTAGATTAATAGTCAACAGGCTTACATTATTATGTCTGTAAATTTTAGTCATCGCTCAGTTACAAGGTTTATCATAAGCTTTCTTTCTTCTCTTGTACACTCTTTGCTTTTCTTTGGGTTACCAATTGTCCTATGTCTTAATGGCTTAGTTTTTATAAAGTTATCACTAATTCAAATCCAAACTTATCCCTAGTTGTCTAAATCTTTCAATTCCTTCAAATATATTAGTCATTCTTCCAATTTCATCTTTTTGAAGAAAACTTTCTGGAAACTTCTGACTTGCTCCAATCTGGGTTGGCTGCTGCTCTCTGGACCTGCTAAATAGCTGTGCTATATATAGTCTTGGGATCTCCCTACATTATTCTGAGGAATCTTTCTGTCTTGCTCTGGTTACTCTGTTTCCTTGTTCTCATGTATTTCTCATCCTTAGCGTATGTCCTCATCTTTGTAGAGCACATCCTCCAGTGGATTCTCAAAATGGGTGCATGGGAATAAATTTTTTGAATCTTCAATATCTGAAAGTAGCTTTATTCTACCCTCACACTTAATTAGTTTGGCTAGGTGTTGAACAGAGCTAGAAGTAATCTTCTCTCAGAACTTTGAAGGTATTCCTCCATTGTCTTGCTTCTAGTGTTGCTATGCAAAATTTATAGCTATTCTAATTCCTAATTCTTTGTTGGAAATCTTTTTTTCCCCCCAACTCTACAAGTTTGTAGGATATCTCTTTGTTTCCAGAGTTCTGAACTTTTTCAGTGATGTATCTGAATGTGGGTTTGTTTTTACTTGTGTGGGACTTTCTATGGACTTTTAAATCTGAAAACTCAGATCTTTCATTAGTGGAAAAATTTATTGACTGTATTTTTGCTTATTTCCTTCCTTTCATTTTCTCTAATCTATTTTCCTAGAGCTCCTAATTTTCAGATTTTTGAACCTCTCGGGTTGGTTCTCTAATTTTCTTATATTTTGCTCTCTTACCTTCCATTTCTGTTCACTGTAAAGTGGGCTGGCTGCTTCCCTGGAGAACCCCTAAGGTCAGCATAATTGTGTTTTTTTAAATTTGTGACTAGAGAAAACTCTAGGGCTATATATACGGGTATTCTGGGAAGCGAGTGGGGTGAGGTCTGGGGATCTCAAATTCAGTGTTTAAATCTATTCATCATCCCTTTTCCAGTAGGGTGGTCCCACACTTGAATGTGCCTGATCTCTCTCAGTCCAGAGACACTCTGTTTTATGCTTTCCAAAGAACTAAATGTCCAGTCTTCTGCCAGAGTGGGGAAGGGAATCTAATTTCTTCTTGAAGAGACTTCTGACAAATCCTCACGTCTCCAGTTCCACCTTCATCTCATTTCCAGAAGCTTCTGAGCTTCCAGAAGATTTCATAATCTAAATCAAGTTGCTTCTTGGTTTTTACCTACCGCTGACTTAGCAGTCAGCTTTCTTAGGCTGCTAAGGTAAGTTACCACTTAACATCTGCTTTCCAAGTAACAAAATTTTGCTGCTGTTGTCTTCTATCCAGTTTTCTTATTCCTTGAGCGTTTATTCTTAACTACCCTAACTGTCCTTGGAGTGGAGTTTAGGAGGGAGCAGAGCTAACTGCTTACATTAAAGCCGCCATCTTTACATGAAAATTCCATTCTGCTTTTCCGCAAATTAGAGAATCACAGTTCCTACATATTGAAAGGGACTCCAAGAGAGTACGTAGTGAATTCTTCCCTTCAGAGAGCAAAGTGTATTGTTTAACTTGCAGATGAGGTGGTTGAAGCCACCAGGAAGCTGCGTTTCTAGCCCAAGGTCACACACAGGCATACAGATAGACATCATGCTGTTCTCCAGTCTATGTAGTGAAAATAATGATCTCTCAAAGTTTTACAGGTATTTTTCCCCCCTAATTTAGGACTATTTCAGCAACAGCTAGATCCTTTTCTATAATACCTTACATTTGCACCCTCTTCCAGTGGGCAGATGAATTCTTCATATTAGAATATTAGGTGTTAAACTAATTACAAAATGTGGTTAAATGTTTTATTTCTTGTGAAGTTGGCTTAAAAAATTTCAGACACAAGCAGATTTATAAAGTAGTTGATATGCTGTACATATGTCCTTTTGAGTAATGTATACAAAGGATCTTAGAGAGAAGCACATCATAATTTAAATATAATTTGTATAACTTGTTAAAACAAGTGGTAGAATAACTATTTTTAATTTTCAACAAATACAACTGAAAAAAAAAACCAGCCTGGTTTGTTGTAAGAGTTTTACTCTATTATATAGTATAATGCTCTTTGTTAAATTTTAGGGAAAAAACACAAGCTTTGACAAAAATGCATTTGTAGAGGAAGAAAGGACTGAGATTTGGGATTCAACTTATTTTAAATTGATGCTACCTTTTCTCCCCCTGCATAATATAGCCCATAGCCTTAAAATATTACTAAATTATAACAAAATTAAAATATTTTTGATGAAGGAATTCGTTTTAGTCCATAAAAATTTTAAGAGCTTTATAAAACTAGGCACTAAAGAAGCTTTAACAAATGCAACGCTCCAGAGGAAAATGAAGGATAAAAAGAAAACCATCCGCAAATACTTACAGATTCTTTTCTGCCCATAGTTTTGCTGTGTGAGCGGGAACGGGAGATGTTGCTAAAAAAGGAATCCTTTTTAGTAGCAGACGAAGGTGGGGAGCCAGTGAATTCCCTTCCTCCAGGCAAACTCTCAATGCTTGGAGATGAACTGATGTTTTTAGAACTTTGTCCTGTAAGAAAATTAAAGTAGAAATAATGAAACACCAGGCTCTTTCACTAAGCTACTGAATTTACTGCTTTTGATAAATGATCAGTCATGATACTTCTTTGTTCACAGTGTCAACATAATGACACTACGGAATATTAAAATGGGTGCATTTGTATGTATCAGAATAGCTGCCAATTTTTGTAAAACAATGACGTACTGCTCTAGTTTTCTACATGTAATTTATAGTACAATAGTCCGAGTTTTGCACACATATAAAAAAACTGAAAAATCCAATTTTTAGAAATCACAGGGTAAATGACAGGATTTTCTCTTAAATAATGGAATTGTCCTTAATAATAGAAACCAGAAACTGTTATACTGCATATTATATTATTAATATCAAAAAATCTAAATCCTTCACCAGTGTTTCAAAAGAGCCTCTTTCCTTTCATTAACTGTAGAACAGATATAAGGCTACCCTTGGCCTATGGTAGAAGCATCTGGAAATGGGACAAGGTATTAGCTCACAGAGCCAGCCCTGGTGGTCTAGTGGTTAAGATTCGGTGCTCTCACCGCCACAGCCCGGGTTCGTTTCCTGGTCAGGGAACCACACCACCCATCTGTCACTTGTCATACTGTGGTGGCAGCATGTTGCTGTGACGCTAAAAACTATGCCATTGGATTTCAAATACCAGCAGGGTCACCTATGGTGGACAGGTTTCAGTGGAGCTTCCAGATTCAGACGGACTAGGAAGAAGGACCTGGCTACCCACTTCCAAAAAAATTGGCCATGAAAACCCTGTGAACAGCAGCAGAGCATTGTTTGATATAGTGCCAATTGTGAGAGGATGGCACAAAAAGACCGGGCAGGGTTCCACTCTGCTCTACACAGGGCTGCTAGGAGTTGGAATTAACTTGATGGCACTAACACAATTGGCTCACAGGGCCTCTTTCTTGACCTGTCCCTACATTAGAGTGGGGGGATCCCATCTGTGATTTCCCAGTAGTGCCTTTTTTACTGAGAGGTCTGGAGCCACAAACCTCCCTCAGACAGGAGCAAGGGTTCTAGTGAGTCCTGTGGAGAGGGTGGTGTGGTGTAGAAGGCTGGTACAGAGAAGTGGCTGCAGCCAGACTCATGCAGGTCTCACTTATACAGTGGGATACTCCCACAAGATTGTTATGGGGACTTAAGGACCTAGCAAAATACCTGGTGTGTATGCATTCATTCATTCAACCATTAGTAACTGAAGGCCTGGTAACTGCCAGACACTTATGGGTGCAGGGGGACAGTGGAAACTAAAACCATCAAAAATCCCAAGCTTTGCGGAGTTTATTTTCTAGTGAGGGGAGACAGACAAATACATTAGTAAAATATATATGATTTTAGATGGTAGTTAGTGCTATGGAGAAAAATAAAGCAGTAAAGGGGGATGTGAGTGTTAGTCCAATTTTAAATAGGATGGTCGGGGAAGGTCACTGAGAGTTGAGGTGCATTGACATTTGAGCAAAATCCTGAAGAAGGTGAAATACAGCTTTGCAGATAATATGAAGAAACAGCAGTGCAAAGGCCCCAAAGCAGGAACTTTGTGTGTTTGAGGAACAGCAAGACGGCCAGTGTGGCTACAGCTAAGAATGAAGAGGAAAAGGGTAGGAGATGAGGTTTGAGAGCAGCAGGGGATCAAAGCAGGTAGGGATTTGTGGACAATTTTGATTACTTTTATTCCGAGAAGGGAAGCCACTGGAAGCCACTAGAGGATTTGAGCAGAGGAGTGACACGATTTGACTTGATTTTAAAAGGATCAACCTGGTTGCTGTGTTGAGAATAGAATTAGGGGTGGGAGAGGGCCAAAAACAAAAGCAGGGAAATCCGTTTTTGCCACTGCAAAACTCCAAGTAAGCAGAATGATCATAGCTCTCGGTGGTGGGAAGCGCTCAGACTCTGGACAACACTGACTAGGTTTACCGATGAATCCATTAGGGGTATGAGAGAAAGAGAGAAGTCAAGTTTAACTCCAGACATTCCAAAATTAGATAGTGGTGATAGTTGCGCATCTCTGTGAACGTACTAAAAACCACGGAGTTATACACTTTAAAAAGGTGAATTTTATGGTATATGAGTTATATCTCAATAAAGCTATTATTTTTATAAAGTTAGTTTTCACATTAAACTCCCAGCAGTGACTAGCAGTAAAGGGCCTACCCATTTCCACCCAAAAGAGGGCTGCTCTAATAGAAAATCATGGCTGCAGAGTTCCCTAGCGAGCTTGCAGAGACTTTTGTGAGGTTTGCATCATGGTTTGACAACATCCCCCCACTTCCCAGTCCAGTTTCCGCCTCTTTTCCTTTCACAGGTGTTATTCCTCAATAAACCTTTTGTACTTCTAACCCCGTCTCAGAGTCTGCTTCCTGGAGAATCCAACCTGCAATGGACGATACCGGGGCTGAGCCTCGAAGGGTAGTAGAGGTGCCTCTGAGGTTAGGAAAGGAGGGGGAAGAACAGGTCCCAGGGCCTAGAAACATCTTATGCTTCCTTCAGGGTCTTGACTATCGCAGCTCCACCTGGACCTCACTCCTTCCCTTCTCTGCCTCCGTCTGTCTCCCACCCTCCTCCAGGGCTCTAAGTCTTAACTTCCCTGGGCTACGTTTTCATGGCTACAATCTCAAGTACAGGGTCCTAGAATGCTGGAGCTGAAAAAGACTTCAGGAACTAATTTAGTTTCTCTTTTTAAAATTAGACCACTAATACGTAAATACATTCTCACTATAAATTGGTTAGATGTGAAAAATGCCTTTATAAAAAAAATAGCTTTATTGAGATTTAATTCATATACCATAAAATTTGCCTTTTTATTTTTTTGTGAGGAGATCAGCCCTGTGCTAACATCTGCCAATCCTGCTCTTTTTTTTTTTGTTGAGGAAGACTGGCCCTGGGCTAACATCCATGCCCATCTTCCTCCACTTTATATGGGACACCGCCACAGCATGGCTTGCCCAGCAGTGTGTCGGTGTGTGCCTGGGGTCTGAACCAGCAAACCCCAGGCAGCTGCAGCAGAGCGTGCGCACTTAACCGCTTGTGCCACCAGGATGGCCCCCAAATTTGCCTTTTTAAAAGTGTATAATTCATTTTAGTTTTTCACATTTAATTCACATTTGGTTTTTAGTATAGTCACAGAGATTCGCAACCATCACCGTCTAATTTTAGAACATTTTGTCACCCAAAGAGAAACCTTGTGCCCATTAGCAGTTACTCCCAATACTCCCTTCCCTATAGCCCCTGGCAACCACTAATCTACTTTCTGTCTCTATGGATTTGCCTTTTCTGGATATGTCATATAAATGGAGTGATACAGTATGTGGTCTTTTGTGACTGGCTTCTTTCAGTTGGCACAATGTTTTCAAGGTTCATTCATGCTGTAGCATGTTATCAGTACTTCATTCCTTTTCACTGCCAAATAATATTCTGTTCTATAGAGATACCACATTTTGTTTATCCACTCATCAGTTAATAGACATTTAGCTCGTATCCATTTCTTGGGTATCATGAATAATGCTGCTATGAACACTCACGTATAAGTTTTTGTGTGGACATGTTTTCATTTCTCTTGGGTCTTGAGTGGAATTGCTCTGTTTAACATTTTGAGAAAATGCCAAACTGTTTTTGAAAATGGCTACACCATTTTACATTTCCACCAGCATTGTAGGAGTGTTCCAATTTCTCCACATCATTGTCAACACTTATTATTGGCTATCTTTTTATTTTAGCCATCCCAGTGGGTGTGAAGTGGTATCTCATTATGATTTTTATTTGCATTTTCCCAACGCAAATGACTAATGATGTTGAGCTTCTTTTCATGTGCTTATTAGACATCTGTATATTTTCTTTGGAGGAATGTCTACTCAAATCTTTTGCCCATTTTTAACATTAGGTTGTTTTTCTACTGTTTTATTGTTGAGCTGTAAGAATTCTTCTGGGTACAAGTCCCTTTTTAGATATATGTTTTGAAAAAAATTCTCCCATTCTGTGCATTGTCTTTTCACTTTCTTAATGGTATCCTTTGACACTTAAAAGTTTTAAATTTTGATGAATCCCATTTACCTATTTTTTCTTTTGTTGCTTGTGCTGTTGGTATCACATCTAAGAAGCCACTGCCTAACCCAAGTTCAAAAAGATTTACTCCTATGTTCCTTTTAAGAGTGTTATAGTTGAGCTCCTGCATTTAAGTCCATGCTCCGTTTTGAGTTGATTTTTGTATATAGCGTGAGGAAGTAGTTCAACTCCTTTCTTTTGCATGTGAATATCCAGTTTTCCCAGTACTAGTTGTAGAAAAGACTATTCTTTCCACATTGAATGGTTTTGGCACCCTTGTTGAAATTCAACATACCATAAATATAAGGGTTTATTTCTCTGCTCTCAACTCTATTCCATTGATACATGCCTATCTTTATGCCAGTATCACACTGTCTTGATTACTGTAGCTATATAGTAAGTTTTTAAATTGAGGACTGTGAATTCTCCAATTTTGTTCTTTTCAACATTGTTTTGGCTATTGAGGGTGCTTTGCATTTCCTTATGAATTTTAAGATCAGTTTGTCAATTTCTACCAAAAAGATACCTGGGATTTTGAGAGGGATTGTGATGAATAAGTAGATCAATTTGGGGAGTATTGCCATCTTAACAATGTAAGATATAAGCAAAATACATTAATGTCGTCTTTTATATTTACTTTGTAGTTACCTTGTTCAGTGCTCTTTCCCTTTGTGTGGATTTAAATTAATTTCTGGTATCCTTTCATTTCAGCCTGAAGGACTCCCTTTACTATGTCTTGAGGGGCAGATTTGCCAGCAGTGAATTCTATTTTTGTTTATCTGTCACTGCCTTAATTTTTTCCTCCTTTTTGAAGGACAGTTTTACTACATATAGAATTATTGGTTGACAGTATTTTTTTTTTTCTTAATCACTTTGAATATATCATCCTACTGCCTTCTGGTCTCCACGGTTTTTGATGAGAAGTCAGCTGTTTA